TTTCTAAATTCCTAAATTTTTATTATTACATATAATCAAATATTAAACATTTTAAACATCGGTAAATATAAGTTTTTGTAATAACTTTGCTCTCTGATAAGAGCGCTGATTTCTATTAGCTCTAATTTTTTCATTGTGATTTGTCAAACATAAGGAAACTAAATTTTTTATAAATAGAAAAATATGAGACATATTTTTACTATATTATAAATGTCAAAGTTTAAAGAGCTGAAATCGCAGCATCTCGTCGAAGTTTGAAATTCGCTTTTTCTACAATACTTTGACATTTATTGCAGAAAAATGATTTCGGCCGTCAAAATTTGAGAAAGTGTTTCACACCTTTAAATCTTTGACAGGATTTTATGAAAAATAAATATACGTGTCTCATATTTTTCCATGTTGTACAAATCTATATTTGTTTCAAAAAACACTCTAAAAGAAATATAGGTGTTCTCTCGTGAATTCCAACGTTTCCGGGTTTTCAACATTTACGCATTTCGATTAACGTGTGAACGATAGCGGAATTTGCGTGTTAAAAATAATTTGACGTGATCACACGTATTTCTAAAAAAAATTATTTGATCTTGTATGCGTTCTATAGAATGTTTCAATAGTTTCAATTAATCGTGAATTTGACGATTGAAGCGCCATCTTGTAACATAAATCGGTAACATGTAACATAAATTGCATTATCGCAAATAATTGTATCGATTTCGCGATGTAGGCAGCTTCGATGATATCCGTAACATGAACTAGTAAATGCCATTTACAATAGTCCGATAAATGTTCGTACAAATGCATCGAGTTGCAATCAATCGTGCACGCGTATCGCGAATATCATGATCCGTATTCACGCACGTTTACTTTTATACATTGCAGAATCTCTCTGCTTCCTTTCCACCCCCTTGTTTTTTTTTTCCTGCCGTCATTTCCTTTCACAATCGCGAATGGAGTCGGCAATATTGAAGCCTCGCAATCCTCGAGCTAAACCGTTTCCATAGCGGATACTGCGCGCGGTTCTATTATTTTTTTTCCTTTCTATAAAAAGCCTTCGCGCCTCACGTTTCACACGTGATGCCGTTTGTCGCATACGATTCTCACGCTACGCCGATTATACAACGACCGCGAATAAACCAAGTTGAAATTGTTGCTATATAACAGGCTCTCTATTCAACTTTGCATTGAATTACATACGAGTAATTGTGAGATGAAATTTTTAAACAACGAATACTTGAGCTTCGAAGCACCTATGACATAGAAAAAGAAAACAGCGTTAGTTTACAATACGTTACATCAGAGCTATACGAGGACTATAATCTGGTTCCGTGTGGTAATCATTATTGATAAAGACATTATTATTATACTGTAAGTGAGCATAGACGCAATACGTGAGTCAATAAAACGCATCGAGGTTCTCTACGATAATGTTTTAGCATTTTCAGAAACGTTCTCTTTTTTCGTAAAGCAGCAAGTCTTATTCCGACACAACAACCGTCGTTTGCATGAAACGTGGAATAAAAAGCTTACATCGATGTATGACAATGGTATGCGTCTCGATGTTCAAAAAGAACGTCATTGCTGCGGTGTACGATGCATTTCTTATTGATAACTATGAAGCATGAAAGACTATTTATAACCAGGCCTAACGAAATTGCTCTACATCGAACCGACGTCATTGACGAAGCTGATCCTAAATACGAGTCGATATCGGGAACTTTCCTTCATATATTTAGAATCTGATCATCATCAGCACGTGTAAATTTAATTATTGTTTAATCGTGTTAAAAACTCAAATAGCGAATAGTCTACATATCAAATTAATTTCTTGTGCATAAAGTACAAAAAATAATTTCTCATAAGAAAATAGTCAACAAAATAGTCAAACTGGCTATTTTTTAGATACTTTCAAATATTTTATAAATATTTCAAAAAATTTTTGTAAATTACAAAATATTTATGAGGAAAAGTTAACTGTAATAGCGCTGATAGTATATTTAAAAAAAAAATGACATATTTTCTGTTTTAAATTTAAGTAAAATTTACTTTGAATTATTCTTTTTTAAAATTTTCTTTATAGTTTTAATTATTTTTTGCCTGAATGTATTGATTGTTTGTTTAATTTCTGAATCTTTGAACAAACATATTTGTTTTAAATAAGTTTTTGTTTTTAATAATAAATTGTCCTCATTTTACTAATAGAATGAAAAGGAAGAGATATATATAAAATAAGCTCAAAATTATGTATAAAACTGATTAATCATCTATTTATTGTAATAAATATTCATGACGGAATATTTTATAATTTAACTCATTCTCGATCAAATGATAATTTAATATAGGTAAACAAATTAATAAATAAACTATAAATATTAAATGTGAAATGTTTAAACGAATTACAAAAAACAAAAACAAACGCTCCATTCCAACAATTCATTTTTAATATTTTAACTTATTAATTTAATTAATTTATTTATATTAGATTAGCAATTTTCTAAATAATCGGTTGAAGATGATTAAATTAAATCGAAATGTTTCGTCATTAACATTTATATTAAATAAATAATAATAATAATTTTTTTATTTAATTTTGAATTTGTTTCATATTGCCTCTTTTTTTTCTCTATTGTACCTCATTTTGTATGATTTTCCGGTATTTGTGAAAATTATGGAGAGAGAGAGTTGGTTTCTTCAGTAGTACGAGTCAGTAGCGCTATTCGCGAGTCGCGCACGAGCGGGATTTACTACTTATTGAGGCGACGCGTCGCGCCGTAACGCGGCGTAACTACTTGTTCATGGCGCCCGTGTCCCGTATTAATGCCGCTTTGCAAATCCGTTCACCGGCTTGAATGGAAGTAGATTGTAGAAATTAATTAATGATCGAGTATCTTTATGACAATGTGCAAAATTTTCTTATCGCGGCATTGCGATCGGCGGTAGCGGTAAAACGTTGTTCCACGTCGGCATTTGCAGAGACTCCGGAATACCAGACATTGCGTGAGCCATAGCTCGTTCAACCCCGCATTTACGACCCTTTCTCACGCTAACGAGAAAACAGTTTACACAGGCATCCTAATGAACCAATTTTCCATCTGAAATACCGACGCCCGAGATATCATGAATTTTAGCTAATTTTGAAAAAGCCTGCGGGCGGTATAACATTGTATTATTCGTTCTGGCCATCGCGCGCGTATTATTTGTGGAATAAAATTATTTTAAGCACGTATTATTGGGAATATGGATCAGCAATTTTTTTGTTCGTACAACCGCATAAATTCAATCGTGCTGGCAGCATGCAACGATTTCAGTCTTCTTTTTATAACCTTTCGTGATGACGATGGGATAACGTTTATTCGAAGTAACTAGAGAGATCGCCATCGCCTCGTAAAGTAATCACGGATGGCGGTGTAGGCAGCTGTTATCGGAATTAGGCATCTTACAATGAGACTAATCTGTTCTCTCTCTCTCTCTCTCTCTCTCTCTCTCTCTCTCTCTCTCTCTCTCTCTCCCCCCTCCCCCCTCTCTCTCTTTCTCTCTCTGCACTACAGTTGTGCGAAAACGAGTCTCGCGACGTGCATTCGCTCCGGAAATTCGAGCGAAACTCGACAGCATCGCTAATTAGGATCGCTTAGCTTTTACAAGTGCGGGATCGACCTAATTTTCAAGAGGTGAGTTTAGTCTTTTCACGTTATCAAAAGTATGTCATACTGAATGCATACTATGCGAAATTACATAATATAATTTCATGAAAAATCTCGAAAAATGAATCTCTTGCATGGGTATTGTAAATATTTATTCGAAAGAGTCTCGACATGTAAAAGTAACGTCCATTCAACATGCTGTTGTAAATCGGGGGCACGAAACGCGGTTTTCCAACCTTTTGAACTCTGAATAATCGCATTCGGAGTGAGCCGAGTCCGCAACGATTTCTCAAGACGTTGCACCCCTGGAGCGAGCAAACGCATCGTCGAAAAAGGCAGCTTGTTCGGCCGCTAGTGGTGGAAAAGGAGGTAGGGTAGGACCAAGGGGAGACCGGTGCTTGCACCTCTCGAGAGGGGGTGGCGAGGTGATGGCGAGGCTCACAGTAGTCTCGCCACCGAGCGTACGTCGGCTGGCTCCGACGTCGTTCGGTTCTGACCGGCTTTATCAGCGCCGGCGCTGTCACCCCTTTGACGTAGCAAAATGGCGGCGGCGTGTCGGAGGCGTCTCCGTTCGCACAGTGCTCGACGTCGCGCAGTCCGCGTATGTTCGCAATAACGTTCCAGCGGATCAACGTCGGCGTCGGTGACAGATCGAGCGACGTATCGCACGCGATCGTGGCACCGTGCTCCGATCACGCGCGCGTCAGACACAATTCTTTCTTCCGGTAACGCTGCACGTCGCTGACGCACGTTACTACCACCCTCCACCCCCCTCGTACACAGCGGAGCGAAGTCGAGTGCACGGCGTGCGGATTACGAGGTTGCGGTCGACACGGAAACGACGAGAAAAGCAGTGAGCGAGCGGTACCAGGAGCGAGGGGGAGGAAGGAAAAAGAGAGAGATCACGGTTTACTGTGTATTCGGTACGTGAGATATTCATCAAGAGTTCTCGCGACGCCGCGTGCTTCTTCCGATCTTTTTCGTTCCTTTATCCCCTTCTCCTTTCCCCTTCTCTCTTTCTCTCTTTGACCCATCCATCGTTCCGAATTCGGAGCGCGCAGCTCTTTCCATTTTCTTTCCATTTTTTTCCTACTAGTCCTGATCCGTTTTGTCCCCAGTCTTTCTCCTGTCTCTCTTCTGACTCTCTCTCTCTCTCTCTCTCTCTCTCTCTCTCTCTCTCTCTCTCTGTCTCTCTTACGTGCCCGGCGCTCTTTCACGGTACCGTAGTGAAATGCGCGTGACCGGTCGCGCCTCGGAACGACGGCGACGACGTGTCTGGCGTCGTTGGTGGTGCACGTTCCCCTGACGAGCACGAGAGACGCGCGACGGCGACTCGGAACATTCCTCGCAGCCCTCGCTACTATGATAATAACGAAAAGTACGGTGACGGCGGTGGCGGCGACAACAACGACGACGACGACGACGACGACAACAGTACGGTGGCCGCTTCTCCAGAATCGAGAGACGCTTGATCGAATTTATCACAACATCGGTGGAAAACGGCGATCAACGACGGATCTACATAGCGACGCTGTCTCGGCGATGTTGTCTCGCAATTGCGGCCGTCGCGTGGTACATGGGAACGACAACAGCAACATCATTGAACCGCAGTGGATCAGCGATAGCTACACGGAAATCGTATCTGTGCTGCCATACTACTATTATTGCCAGCGTCTCGCTATTATTAGCATCGTAGTCTCATTACTTGCCGACGACGACGTTCGTGGAGACGATTTGATATCAGAACGACTTTTGGAGCACCGGGACAACGCGGGCACGAACTACAGCACGGCAACTAGTAGCGATGATCTTCGTCTTCTCAATCGCTGGAACGGACTTCTACGTTGCGCGAGCCTTGCTATTTTTAACCGTAATCGACGATACGCGCGACGGAGGGAATGTAATCGATGATTAGAGAGACGGCGTGCGAACGTTAATCCGCGGGTCAGCTTCTCATATCGCAGTAACAAGCCGACCGATAGCGAATCAATCGTTGATAATAACGCGTATACAACAGTCATTTTCCGCGCCGATCGATCGTCATCGCGCGCCGGTATACAGAGAAAACAGTGTTACAGGCTAGCACATAGGAACTCGTGTCACGTACGGTCATCGGCCAGTGTACACACCGGCAAGGCAAGGGAAGGGTGGGAAGGGGTATAGGAGCGGGGAAGAAGGAGCCAGGTATCGTTGATCTAGATAAGCCGGTGTATCGCGATAAGGTGTACAGATGGACGCTTCGCCGCGGTCAACCTGTGACGAACTGTGTAAACAGAAATATTCCGTTAAGAAGTAAAGAGAGATAATAAAAAAAAAAGCGCATTCGAGGTGCACGTACTTACCTCGTACTTTCCGTACTTTCAAGCTTTCGCGCGTAACGTAAAAAAAAGCGTGTACGTACTATAAACGCGACGTACTATAAACACGGATTCACACGTAACGTATACTTCTGACTACTGACACATATATATATATATATATATATATATATATATATATATATATCTATATATATGTGTGGATGCGACACGTATTTCGCATACGTGATAGAGACGTATAGTGAGCAAAGAGCAGGGAGATAAAAAGAACGAAAGACAGAGAGAATAAGACAAAGAAAGAGAGAGAGAGAGAGAGAGAGAGAGAGAGGGAGAGAAAGAGAGAGAGAGAAAGAAAAAGAAAAAGAAAGAAAGGAGGATTATTAGTGCAGGCGTACAGAGGATAATTAGCCTGCGTATCGTATACGAGACAGTGTACACCGGCACGTGTTTCATCGTAAAGCAGCGTATAACTTTCAATATGAATCTCTACACGAATTGAGTGCATCGCTCGGTTGATTAGAGACAACTTGAAAGATTCAACCGAGCAAAGGTGGATCCTCCGAACATGTCGCTGCTCAGCGTAACGGGTAAGCGTTTCTCTCATTCAATTTTGCGCCAAAACTGGTGATTTATTACACTTCCGACGAGATATAATTATCGAATTTAATTGTGAAACATCTGCTAGTAGATTTGGGATTGTAGCGAAGCAGCCTGAGTCTCATTAAATTTTTTTCAAATTCTTCGAAAGATCTAAATTTATTATCATGATTTTTAAATTTATAGTAGTTTACAAATTTATATGGTTACAAATTATAATATTAGGTGTAGTAAAAAGAAATCCATTATTTTTGCATGAAATTGAATGGAAAAATAATGGATTTCTTTTTACTACACCTAATATATAGTTACCAATTTTATAATCTTTTTTAATTTTATTTTCCTTTTGTTTTAAAAATAATTATTTCGAGTATCCGTACAGACAGAATCTTGCAGCAATCTTGCTTGAGATAATTTTAGAGAAAAAGAAAAATATTGCTGCAATATTGCTGAAGTAATCTGGATGTTACACGAATTTCTATTTAATAGAAAAGAAAAGATTGAACTGGTCGTCAAATTTGTATGTGGAAATGCAGACGCGATTGAGTATCACGTCGAAAATTGTTGTTAAAAGCTCCGCAGTTCGGAATGCCGAAACGTGCGATATAACGCTATTAAATTCTCGTGCAAAAAGCAGGCGGCTGAGTGGAAATAGTTTCGATAGTTTCGACTTCTTCATGAGGTTTTCATCGGAGATAAAAACTCCTTCCTGTTGGAAAAGTTCAAAAAGGATTTTTCGGACTTTCCTAGATTTGCGTGTTGCGAAGAGAAAAAAAAACAGCAAAACTCTGGAAACTACCGTGTGATATCAATCATTGTTTCGTCAACACGTGCGAACGCGTGAGAGGGGGGGGGGGGCAAGTTAAGTGCGACGCGTGATGTAATTAGTGCTAATGAAATCGCTAATCGCGTTAATTGGAGACGCGACTCACAATGGCATGTCGTTGACGATGAGCATTAAGTATCGCGAAAAAGTTCTCGTTTGCATTTCTCACTGTGGCTATTCTCAACGGGCGAGGTGGTGCAACTTGTACAACTGTGTGATGATGCACTTCATTTTCAGTGCGATACCGTAGAGAAATTACAATGCTGCGGTTGAATTATAATCTAGCACAATGACGTGATACTGTTGCGCGATACGCAAATCGATCGGCTGCCTTTATCATTATCGTACATCTCTCGTTCTCATTGTCTCGTATCGTGCTCGATTATCGACTTAGAAACGTGATTTATACAGCGTCTTGCTTTTCGCGGATACACATATATACATATATACGTATACGTCGCCGAATACGGACGTACATAGAATCGATATTGAAACGTCATGCGATAGCACGTAACTGTAACTTGATTTTATGATGGATGCAGGACGGTTATATATCCATCATAACTTAATACCGTCACGGATATCTACTGTGCTAGGTAAAAAATATAGGCGCGGTCGGCCGGCTAAAAAATATAATCGCGTATAAAGCGATTTCGAAAGCGGAAGCTCACTGTCTCGCAAGTAGCAGTGCGCGCGATACTAAAATCTGACTTGACTTGACGTTGCGAAATAATCCAATGCTCGCGAAAGAATCCCGCCGGAGAGGAAGTACATATACAAATTTTGTGTATTTTTATATGCAGCGTTCTCATGCATCTTATGAAGGCACGGAAAAATAGCTGCACGCTGAAATTATTAATGTCTAGTGCTTCGCGAATGGATCATAATTTCGATATATACGCTCTACGTGATTCGTTATATCTGAGATTAAACGATTAACAACGTCGACCAATGTTAGTATAGGATTTTGTTGTGTATGTAATTATTAATAACCGCGTTTTAAAGAATATCGATATTTCGATACTTCATTAAATGAACGTTGTGTGTTATACATTCTCAAATTTTCCCTCGTTCACTATATTTTTCCAGCGGGTTTAAAACTCGACAGGCGAAATAGTATTGCGTTATTTTATACGACGTACCTTTCCTGATGTTACATGCCACGGCCTTTAACATGCATTGTTCACGCGTGAATCTAGATGAAAATATCTCCTCTCTCGAGTTTCTACTTTCTCCCACGTATTTCGCATAGGCGAATGTTCGGGTGAGATAGCTGACATCCTCTAGGCGAGAAAGCTATTCGAGGTGGAGGACCCAGAGATATATCGTTTGACAATAACGAGAAATAATGCTCGGCGTCGCCGTCTCGCCAGCCTCATCCCGCGTGTATTCATAAATATCGTGTCGACGGCAATGCGCAATATACCTGCGCCATATATATGACACGACAGTAAGGCGAGTAAGAACAACCACCTGACTCAGGTGTGCTCAGGTGGCTTCTTCCAGGTCTGTGCATATACACGACACATCTGTGCCCGTATATATCTCAGAGCGTGCGAGCGAACGAGGCTCGTCCATGACTATGAGACACGGAGAGAGCATAGTGCAACGGTTGACCCCGGGTACGCGGGGTCATTCCCTCCTTCAGCTTCCGCCGCTTCAACCCCACTCGCCGCCCGTCACCACCACCACCCTCTACCGCGGCTCTTTTTTGCCATCCTTCTCCCACCTCTTCTCTCTGATACCCACCGCCACCCTTTTCATCCTCTGCCTTCGTCTTCCTAACCGCGACCTGCTACTATCGCAACCATCTCCTCTCTCTCTCTCTCTCTCTCTCTCTCTCTCTCTCTCTCTCTCTCTCTCTCTCTCTCT